GGCTCAGTTACTGGTCCTGAGGGTCTGTTTTTACTCTTAGGTTTGACTTGTGGCTCTGCTGGAGTATTGTGGAAAGAAGGAATGTATTAATGTATTCTACCATCTTGAAAGAAAAAGCCTTGAATGCCATTAATTATACAGTATATAAATTTTTGTAGTTTTCTTAGAAAACCAGTTTTCTTTTGTCATTAAAGCTCTTTATGTAGATTTAATTGCATTTAGAAATGGGCTGTCTTGCCTTATATACATAAGGAGATTAATATCTGATTAATATAGCATAAACTTGTTCTTTAGATGAGTTCTTATATTTCTCAGTAAAATTTGTTGCCCTATCTTTTTAAAGTTTATTCCTGTATGAAAACAAAATTTGGTTTGGTGTTTGCCAAATGAAAGATTTGTGAATTTTACTTATTTCCCTTCATTGTGAACTTTTAAAGGTATAATTTCTAAGATATTTAGCTGAATCTCAGGTTGATACTGCAGCCTAATTGTAGCTGTTTTATAGATTTGTGTTTAGTGTGACTTTGCTGTATTGAGACATTTTGGGAGGGGTAGTTAAAATTAATTTATTTACTTTGGCTTTTATTACCTGGTATAGTAACTGTTAGGAGTTTTATGAAAATCTAACTCCCTAGACCTCTTTATCACCTCCCCTCTCATGCGGGCCCCTTTCTCCATTCCGGCCAACTGCCAACTGCCAACTTCACATCCCAGGATGCCTCATCCAGCTCCTCCTGCCCCTAGCTCTGTTCCCCACTGGAGTTACAGTCTCCACATTTCTGAGGAAAGAAGTACTAATGGGTGGCCTCTCCAAATTTTCTGCCTACCCTGTGTTTTTAAAAATAGATTAGTATTATATAGTACGATTGAGTTTGGAGAGATTTAATTGCTTGATATTGTCATGTCAGGTACAGTCCTGCCACTTAACTGGTGTGAATGACTTTGATCAAATTAACCTCCTTGTGAATTAGCTTCCTTCCCTTTAAATATAGGGATAAGAAGAAGAAAAAATATTTAGCGTTTATCTGTAGGATGTCTGTCATTTAATAATAGTTGTATGATGTTAGGCTATATATCTCTGTGCCTCAGTTTCCTCATCTACAATAATAAGTGTATACCTCATGTGAGATAACCCATGGAAAGGTATTACAAAGGTAATATATAGTAAGACAGATTTGATGGTGGTTGTGTTCAACTTGAGGCATCTCTAAGCATCCAGTTACAGTTCTTGATTTCCTTTTTCCTAGATTTGTGGGACCCACTTCTGATCAATCAGGTCAAAATTTTGGTGACTAGGAATCAAATTTAAAATTGGTTCAAGGTCAATAATATAAAGAACTAGTAAGGACAGCCGTGTGGCTTAATGAGTTGGCATGAGATACATGTTACTCAGCTGATGTGTCCAGGTGTTGTAAAGGATCTAAAGCAGGGGTGGTATACGTCCGACCTGAGGGCCGTATAAGACCCTCAAAATCAATACTAGTTAACATCACACACATCAACAAATTAGCCTGACCAAATATAGCAGGCTAATTTTTAAGTTGATAGTTTTGTATGGCTCGGGGATGGTGTTACAAATATCCAAATGGCCCTTGGCAGAAAAAAGGTTCCCCACCCCTGGAGGGAAGGAAACAGGAGTAAGGATGGAGATGGGAAGAAATATCTGTACAGAAATACTCAAATGTGTCTTATATTTCTTTCCTTCCCGTTCTCCCACATTTGATTATAAGTTTCAGACAGAAGAAATGCTGAGAGAATTAATTGTTCAGTGAACACACATATTCCTAGCACTTAGATACTAACATTTTGCCGTATTTGCTTTAGCAAATACTCATCTTATTTTTGGGGTACATTTCAAAGTAAGTTTAAGACTTAAGTTAGTACACTTTACCCCCAAATTCTTAAGCATACGTTGCATGAACTAGAGTTAACTACTTGTTTTTTTTTAATTTAGCGAGAATTTACATGTAGTAAAATGTAAAATTCTTTAATGAATTTGACAAATGTTTACATCCATGTAACCCAAACCCCTGTTGAGGTGTTGAACAGTATCAGTCCTCTAGAAAGTTTACTCATGCTCCTTCCCAGTTAATACTCATTGCCTCTTAGTCCTGAAGCTTCACTATTCTAATTTTTTCCTATTTATTGGTTTTGCTTGTTCTAAAACTGCAATACAGTTATTCAGTGTGTATTTTTTTTTTTTTTTTTGGGTCTGGCTGTTATGAATAAAGCTGATGTGAACATTCTTGTACCTTTTTTGTAGACCTGTGTTTATTTTTCTTGGGGTAGATACCTAAAAAATTGGGGCAAGTGTAGGAGTAACTTTTATACTCTCAGCAGCAGTGGGTGGGCTTTTCTATTACTGTGCATCCTTACTAGTAGTTGAGTGTCATTTTTTTAAGTTGTAACCATTGTGCTTTGTGAATGGTGGTATATCAATGTAATTTTAATTTGCCTTTTCCTTGTGACTAGTAATGTGTTCTTATGTCCTTCTTGGCAATTAGTATTATCTTCCTTTGAGAGACCTCTGTTCAGACCTTGTGCCCTTTTTAAAATTGGTTTGTCTTAAAGAGTTGTAGGAACTCTTTATGAATTCTGGACCCAAATACTTTGAATAATACCTCTCTTACAGGAAGTCTGAATTTACTTAATTTTTCCCCCGTTATTTTTACTGTTCTTTGTACCTAAGAAACCTTTACTTCTCCCCAGGCTGCAAAGAAATTCTCCTATGTTATCTTCTGGAAGATAGTAGTGCTTTTATGTTCTTTTTAATTTTCCTTTTGATTTCTTATGTAACCCATAGATTATTTAGAAGTGTCTTTAATTATTATTTTAATGTTTTGAAATGCATCGAGACTTTTGTTATAGTTTAGCATATGGTTTTCTTGATGAATTTGAAAAATGTATATTCTGCAGTTGTTGGGTATAGTGTTCAACAGAAGTCAGATAAAATGACTCATAGTATCTCCTAGATCTTTTTTGTTCTTGCTGAATTTTTGTGTGTGTGAGGGGGTAAGTTTAGTCTACTAAAATTGTTGAGAGATAGGAATTTAAATTGTCAGCTTCTATTTGGTGAATTTCTTCCCCTTTAATTATGTCAGTTTTTGTTTCATATATATTTTGAGGCTCTTATTAAAGCATACATTTAAATCTATTATGGCTTTTTATTAATGTGCCTTTTTTAATATTACTAAATATCCTTAAAATTTTTTTTTTTCAAAATATTTTTTGTCTTAAAATCTACTTTATTTGATATTAATATAACCAGCAACTCTGTTGTTAGAGTAAGCTTTCTTAGGTTTACTAATCGCAGGTTATATCTTTTTTCATCTATTTACTTTCAACCTGTGTTTTTATTTTTAAGTCATAGTTGATTCTTACCTTTTCATTTGTTTCTGCTTGTTAATTGGATTGTTTATTTATAATTAATGTAATTATTGATATGGTTGGATTAGAACCTAGTTTTCTAATTTTCCCATTTGTTTTTTGTTTCTTGTTCTTTTCAAAAGCTCCTTCTTTTGGGTTAATTGAGTATTTTGTTAGAATTCAGTTTAAATTACTTGTTGCTTTGTATCTGTCTCTTATGTTACTTAGTGGTTCCTCTTGAGATTATGATATATATCCTTCTTACCGTCTACTTTGTATTAATATTGTGTCATTTCTGTGAAAACTTATCTTGCAACTTTATAGTTTGATTTACCACTTCTCTTATTTGGCATTTTATGCTATAGTTGTCATTTGTGTTACATTTAGATAGTAGGCTGTAAACTCATCACATAAATTTTTGCTTTACACAGTTAAAGAAATTAAAAGAAAAATGTGTGAATTTGTGGTTTTTAAAAAATTTTTTTAATGTTTGTTCCCAGATTCTCCATTTCTTCCAGAAATCTGAGTTCCATTTAGTATCATTTCTGTTCACTCTGAAGAACTTGCAGAGCAGGTTTTATGGCAACGGGTTATCTCAGTTTTCTTTTACCTGAAAGTGTCGCTATTTTTCCTTTTTTGGGTGGAGGTGGGGCTTGACTTTACTGAGGTGTGATTTATGTATAATAAACCCCGTCCTTGTGAAGTATTCAGATTGTTTTAGCTGACAGAGAACTTACTGAACTCAAACTGTGTCTCCTCTGTGGTGGGTGGCAGTGAAGCTCTAGTCTTAGTTGGCTGCTTGATGTCTGCCTTACACACATGGACTTTACAGGTCTGCCAGAGATTTGAACAGTTTATATGTTTGACTTGGGGCTCCCCTTCTGTGGCTCTTCAATCCTGCATTGCCTCTCATTTTCTAGCAACTGTGATCACCTTGTCTGTCCTCTGATTCCTTAACCAACGCATTTGCAGTTTTCCCTCTAAATTTCAACTGTCCATTGATACCAACTCATAAAGAAAACAGGAAGCTTACTCAGTGCTCTTCTTCCAAGTGTTTCATCCCCTCCAGTTTCTGCTTGTATTTGGTTGCTTTCCAGTGTTTTCAGATAGTTTTTAATAATTTGTCCAGAGTTTATAATTGTTATCTGTCAGAGCATTTGGTGAGATACAGCCTTCTCCACCATTAGCAGAAATGGAACTCTTTGTTTGTTCTAAATGTGAGTCATTTGAGACTTGGGGTGGCCTTTGCTATATTGAGTTAAAAAGCCAATGCTGTCCACCAAAGTCATTAGTACTGACATTTATTAAATGCTTGCTTTACATGCCAAGACCATATGTAACTTTATGTTTCATATTAATATCACAATCTTGGTATTTTTCCCCTCCTTTTCACATATTAGGAAATTGGTATTTAGAGCAATTAGGTTCACAGAGTACATGACTGGCTGGTGGCTGGGATCAACTCTTGTTTAGTTTGTTTGATTCAAGAGCTCACATTGTTAACACCACATGGTGCTACCTTCTTTTTATTCTAATTTTACCTGTAGCTATATAAATTCTACCTGAAAATAAGAACAGATAAAAGAATGACATGAAAGATGAACTATATCATTATAAAACTTACTGTGTTTTAGGAAATGGAAGTACCAGTATTACCGAATATCTCTCTACCCATCACCAGTTCTTCACTGCCTACCTTCAATTTTAGTTCTTCTGTGATCACTTCTCCATCACCAGTTAGTCCTGTACAGTCATTAACAAATAAGGTACAAAGCCATTGTACATAGAGATGATATTTTATTTTTCTAATTGTTTATTTTAAAAAATCTAACCAGTTTAAAGCAGTGGTTAATTTTTCACTATTGAAATCAATAACTTAGAGTAAAAATAAAAATAAAAATATATTTTGCTTTTAAAAAAAATGCACATTATAATGGGATATGTTTATGCAGTGCATTAAAGAAAGAGATGGTTGTGTTTGTTTTCAATTAAGGTATTTGTGTGTGTGTAAGAATAGATTTATATTTTTATTTTTCAAATGGGATTGATATTTTTAATCTGCTCCTAAAATTTTTATGCTTTTGTTTTGGCTTTTATTTTTTCGAAACTTCTACTTTAAAATTTTTTTCTGAATATATGCTTTGTGGATGTTATTTTTCTTCTTTAGACAAATGTCCATGTCTAAAATAGTATATACTCCTATACACTACAAGCAGAAAAGCCAGATTTTATAGCAGCTACTATTAAGTATTTTTTGGAGGTTAAAAAGTGTTTTTAGATCTAAAAGGGGAAACATTTGCTTTTGGCTTCTTTGTAATGATTAATTTGCTTAATCTGTCTTATTGTCAATTTCTTTTTCTAACAATCTCTTTCTGTAATTTTTTAATATTTTGGAAAACCAGGTACAAATGACCTCTTCAAATAACACCAACAGTCCCATGTTTAGATTTTCATCTCCAATTGTAAAATCTACTGAGGCAGATGTACTACCTCCATCATCTGTAAGTAGCAACCAAGGAATATTTCTTATTTATTTGATTTCAAAGACATACTGTATTTTTATCAAATCTAAGATGCCATTGATGATAAGAAATACCATTATTTTTCTTCTCAAGTTAAAAAAATTACAATGTACAGAAAACTTAAATGAGTGAACATCTGTGCATTTTCACTGTATGTCTCTGTACATGCGCATGCACACGCACATATGCATTTTCTCAGGTACCATTTGAAAGTTAAGATGTAACCCTGGCTATTTTAGCTCAGTGGTTAGAGCATGGCCTACAGACCAAAGGGTCTGAGGTTTGATTCCCAGTCAAGGTGGATTGCAGGTTCCATCCCCAGGCCTGGTCAGAGTCATGTGGGAAGCAACCAATCTATGTCTCTCTCTCACATCGATGTTTCCTCCCTCCCTCCCACTTTATCTCTAGATCAATGGAAAAATATTCTAGGATGAGGATTAACAAAAAAAGTTAAGATACATCTTAATGTCCTTAATACTTTCCATGTATCCCCTAAGTGAAAGGACATTCCTTTGCATATTCACAGTACAGTTGTTATACCCACAAAATTTAACATAATATAATAACAACATAGTTCAGATTCAGATGCCCCGGACTGTCCTTTTTTTTTTTTTTTAATCCTCACCCAAAGACATTTTTGCATTTATCTTTAGATGGAGCAGGAGGGAGGGAGGGAGGGAGAGAGAAGGAGAGAGAAACATCAACTAGTTGCCACCCATACGACATCAACCGGGGCTGGTGACAAACTGCAACCCGGGTACGTGCTTCTAGTGGGAACTGAACCCGGGTCTCTCTGGTCTGCGGGCCGATGCTCTAACTGCTGAGCCAAACTGGCCAGGGTTCCAGACTGTCCTTTAATTGCTGTTTTGTTTCTCTTGGTCCTAGATCCAATTAAGATTGGGGCCTAATTAATTAAATCAATGCAAATGTATTATTTCTTGAATTATATCTTACACGATAAGTTTTAGATTTTTGTTTCACAATATGTATTTGTTTCTTTATAATAGAAATCAATATTCAATATTTTGGATAAGAATAAATAATAAGTTTAGTATTTAAGTTGCCCCACTCCTCGTGTATCATTTTAACGTGTTGCTCTTTGTGTTTTTTACTGCTCTTGTTTTCTGTCAAGTAGATGTCCTAGATCATTTGTAGTTTCCCAGCTGCATGCCTGGAATCTATCCAATGTCCAAAAACAAGATTTTTTATTAGAAAATGACATTTAGAAACCCAGACTTTGGCATTATGAACATATTATTTATGTTCTGCTTTGAAAGAAAAAAGTGCCTTAGAAGTGAAAAATGCTGCTGTTAAAGTATGACCCACCATTTGTTAGAAGCAGCATCCCAATTTTAAAGATTATAAAATATGAAAAACTGTCTTAGAATAACTGAAATTTAATATGTTTTTTTCATTTGGAATACAATAAAACTATAATTTGATATTTGTTTAAAACTAATTTGACACTTAAAGGATAGCTTTTCTCTTTACAGATTGGATTTACATTTAGTGTGCCCGTTGCAAAAACAGCAGAACTTTCTGGCTCTAGTAGTATTTCAGAACCAATTACAAGTAGTTCAGGTAAGTAAAACCTTATCATAAATTTTTACATAAAAGTAGTTGCATACATTAGATTAATACTTCAAATTCTTACCCTGGCCGGTTTGGCTCAGGAGTTGGAGCATCGGCCTGTGGTCCCGAGAGACCTGGGTTCGGTTCCCGCCAGGGGCATGTACCTTGGTTGCAGTTTATCCCCGGCCTTGGTTGGTCGTGCGGGTGGCAGCCACTCGATGTGTCCCTTTCACATCAAAGTTTCTCTCTCTCTCTCTCTCTCTCTCTCTCTCTCTCTCCCCCTCTCTCCCCCTCTCTCCCTCTCTCCCTCTCTCTCTCTCTCTCTCTCTTTCTCTCCCTCTCTTTTCCCTCCCACTCTACTTGAACAAAAAAATGGAAAAAATGTCCTCGGGTGAGGATAAAAAAAAAATACTTCAAATTCTTTTACCTATGTCAGTTCTTACACATGTTTTCATTTGAATGAAATTTACTCTGAAAAGCAGTAGAAGAATGGATAAAAAAAGCAGTGGTACATATACACAATGAAGTACTATGCAGCTGTAAGAAAGAAAGATCTCTTATCCTTTGAGATGACATGGAGGGACCTGGAAAGTATTATCCTCAGTGAAATAAGCCAAGCAGAAAAAGACAAATACCACATGATCTCACTTATATATGGAATATAATGAACATAACAGTCTGAGGAATACGGTAGACCCAGAAACATGGAAGTAGAGCACAGACTGACATCCCTCAGAAGAGGGGGTGGGGGGTGGGAAGAGTAAACCACAGAACTTATATGCATGTATACATGACCAATAGACATGGACAACAAAGCCGGGGACGGGGTGGGTGTGGGTTGCCAATGGGGTAAAAAAGGAAAAACATCTGTAACAAAAAAATTAATAAAAAAATTAATTAAAAAAAAAATTTACTCTGAAAAGCAAACGAGCTAATATCAACCTTTTTTTGTTTCTGTTTTTTAATCCTCACCCAAGGATACGTTTTCATTGATTTTTAGAGAGAGAGGAAGGCGGGGGGCAGACAGATATCAATCCTGAATCAAACCTGAAATCTTTTGGTGTATGGGACGATGCTCTAACCAACTGAGCCACCTGGCCAGGGCTGATATCAACCTTTTGACAATGTTTTTAAGTAATTATCCTCAGAGATACTTGGCTTGCTAAACATAAATGTTATAGTTTGATTATGAGGGTGATAGTCACAATAGCAAATTTATCTACTGTCTTTGTTCTGTCAAAATAAGTATATTATTAATGAAGTGTTATAAGAAATTGAAGGGTTGTCTACATTATAATTGCAGTGGATTCCTTCTTTAGGTTTACTGTTCAGTTCACAGCATTTTTGTGTGTCAGGCTTATGCTGGCTTCTGCAAATAGTAATACATAATTTTTGAACTCAAGAAATGGGCATGGCCCTGGCCAAGTGGTTCAGTTTGTTGGAGCATCATCCCATACCCCGAAAGATTGCAGGTTCGATTTCCTGTCAGGGCACATATGAGAGGCAACTGACCAGTGTGTCTGACATCGATGTTTCTCTCCCTGTCTTCCTCCCTCCCCCTTCCTCTTTCTCTAACAAGCAATGAAAATATATCCTCAAGTGAGGATTAAAAGAAGAAGAAGAAGAAAAGAAATGGATATAATTGAGAGAAAATGATGTATAATAAGATTTAAAATATTTTTCGATTGCTGTTGACATACAATATATTCGTTTCAGGTGTACAAACATAGTAATTAGACATTTATATAATTTATGAAGTGATCACCTCGATAAATCTCTAGTACCCATCTGACACCATACTTAGTTATTACAGTATGATTAACTGCATTCTCTATGCTATACTTGACCTTTCTGTGACTATTTTATTTCTACCAATTTATACTAATCCCTACCCCTTTTTCACCCATCCCCCCACTCCCCTCCCATCTGGCAACCATCAAAATGTTCTCTATATCTATGAGTTTGTTTCTGTTTTATTTGTTCATTTTTCTGTTCATCCATTGATGGACATTAGGGCTCTTCCTTTTGGCTATTGTGGATAGAGCTGCTGTGAATATGCATGTATGTGTATTTGTTTGAATACTGGTTTCATTGTTTTAGGGTATATACCTAGGAATGGAATTGATGGGTCAAATAGTCTTTTGAGGAACCACAAAGTTGTTTTTGTCAGCTGGTTCATTTCATATTCCCACTAGCAGTATATTAGGGTTCAAATTTCTTCACATTTTCACACACTTACTACTTTTTAAAAGTAATTATAGCCACCATTTGCATTTCCTTAGTGATTAAAAGTGTTGACCCTCTTTGTGTACTCCTTGGCCTTTTATATATCTTCTTGGGAGAAATGTCTATTCAGCTCTTACCCATTTTAAAATTGGTTTGTCTCTTTGTTGCTCTGATGTAAGCATTTTTATATAGTTTGGATACTGTATCTTTATCAGATATGATTTGTAAGTAATTTCTCCAATTCAGTGGATTATCTTTTCACACTTTCTTGATAATGTCCTTAGATGCACAAAGATTTTTAATTTTGGTGAAGTTCAAATTTTTTTCTTGTGCTTTTGGTGTCATCTAAGCATCTATCGCCAAATCCATGGTCATGAAGATAGACATCCTAGGTTTTCTTCTAAGAGTATTACAATTTTCTTATATTTAGATCATTGATCCATTTTGAATTCAGTTTTGTTTATGGTGTGAGGTATAGGGGTAGGCAGGATTTTTAAAACTGCCTTTTACTTGGTAAACATTCAAGAAGAAAAAGCTGGTTATATTTTATTATAGAAAATTTTAAACATTCTTCAAAGTGGAATGGTAGACTGAATCCCCAAATACTCTTTTTTTTTTTTTTTTTCCTTTTATTGATATTACAGAGAGAGAGGAAGGAAGAAGAAGAGATAGAAACATCGATGAGAGAGAACATGAGTTGGCCACCTCCTGCATGACCCCCACTGGGCATTGAGCCCACAACCTGGGCATGTGCCCTGACCAGGAATCAAACCAGTAACCTCTTGGTGCATGGGTTGATGTTCAACCACAGAGCCATACTGGCCGGGCCTGAATCCCCAAATACTCTTTACCCAGCTTCAACATTTACCATTTTATGACCAATCTTGTGGGTCCCTCACTTTCTTCCTCCCTCCTTCCCTTCTTACACATACAAACACACCTATCAGGTTATTTTGAAACAATTCCACACATATTTTATCTGTAAGCAGAAACTTCCCCCTTAAAAATATAACCACTGAACTCTTATCATACTGAAAATATAGATCTCTTAAGTAAAAGGATATGTTTGTTTTAGAAAGTTTGGAAAATATAAAAAGTAAAAGCAATAAATAAAAGTTACTCATCACTAGCGGCCACCATTACTCTTTAGATGTAAACATTCAGAATCTTTTGGAATTTCTAACCTGTTTTTACCCATAACTGTGCTTTTAAGAATGATTTCTTTTTTTGTAGCTGTGTAGCATTTCCTCATGATAGCATTCTGTAATTTATGTATCAGCCCCTTATTGAGCATTCATCATCCAGGTTTTCCATGTTATAACTGAAGGATATTCTTAATTATAGGTGAATTTCTCAAAATGAAATAACTGGCTCAGTTGAATATTAAAGGTTTTCAAAAAAATCAATATTGTAAACTGCTTTGTAATTAATTATATATTTCATGAAGAGTAGCAACTTGTCCTACCATCTTCCATGTTTCAACTTGATTTTCTTGATTACCAGTGAATTCATTGGGTAATAATTGTAGTTTATATTTTTTGCCCATTTGTAGGAAATAGTATTTTTACTTCCTTATAATGAAACAACCTTGTACTGTTAAATAATTTGTTCATTATCTTTGAATTTTAGAGTTTTAAAATAACATTTTAGGAGTAGATCCAAATTGTCTTTGAAAGATCTTTTTAATACATTTAATTTGAGTCTAGTGCTTTTCTTGGCATAATATCTATTATAATTTTAAAAATTACAGCTCAAGATATCACTGCAATGAACAGTGCAAGCTGTAAGAAGCCAGATGAAGACTGTGAGGGCCCTTTTAGACCTGCAAAGACCCTGAAAGAAGGAAGTGTCCTAGATGTTTTGAAAAACCCCGGTAAGATAAATAGCTGCCCTTGAATTAGTCTAAAATTTTAATTATAAACTCATGGTCTTATTTTAATGTCATTTGTGATATACTTTAGGCTTTAAGAGAATTATTACTAATTTGATAGGAGATTGACTTCTGAGTGTAGATGTAATCAAATGTTAATTCTTTTATTAGGGGAAAGATCTTAGAAACTACTTATTTCTTTAGAATTCAAGGACTTTGTACTAGAATGAAGTTTCTAACAGGAAAGTATAGAAGGAGAAAATGAATTGCCTCTTAATAGAGATAGGCCAATATTGAATAAAAGGAAATAAACTTGATGGTATAGTTGGGCATTTCTTTCTCACCAGTGTTGAAACTGCCTTGTTGTTCTCAGATTATTCCTCATTTGTGGTACACACACACACACACACACACAACAAGGCCAACAAACGTGCTGATTCTAACATATTAAGAGACTGCTCGCTTGAAACAAGGTATAAAAGTTAATAGGTAATAATTTGAAGGCACTGACTAGAAAACTCAAATAAGAATAAATTTTCAGTTTGCAAATCAAAGAGAATAGCCAGAAGTTCAATTGTTATGTTACTATAAGAATATAAAAGTGTTTATAAAATAATCTAGTAGCTCAGAAAGAATTAGACTCAGCAGAAGTGTTCATGTATGATTGAATAGGAATTTCAAAATAAGATTGACTTCTGTAACAAACTTTAGAAGGGTTAGGTTTTTTTGGTTAGTAGTCTCATTTTATAGATGAGTATACTGCCTTCAGGAGTCTCAATAATTTAGATGATTTTTACATAGTTATGGCAGAACTCCAGAATGCTTGTACTAGAATTAACCAAGGGTAGGTAAGCATCAATTTCATGTAGTTTATCTTCATATAAGCTACACTTTGCATTCGTAATGGCCACACCTCCCCCCTTATAAATTTTTTGAAATAGCAAACATTTGGAGATCATATGTTCTTTTGAAGGAGAAATAAGGAAAATGTGAAAAAGTGGAAGTAATAGAAATCTGTAATACTAAAGATGGTTACTGTTAAAATTTTGCCAACCTTAGTAACTCATTAATCATTAACAAAATATTGACCAGTGGGAGTAACTGAGATATGTGGGATTGTTTAGCCATTATGCTAAAAATAGCTGTAGGCTGAATTATTTCTTGGTAGCACTAGAAAATCTTAAAAACCTTCTATATCTTCTTCCCCTTCAATTTTTCTTTTCCTTTGGTACTGAAGGCTGGAGAAGCAGCATCACTGGGTTTATTGGTATGAGTAAAATAAAAAATTAATTGGTTCAAAATGAAGAATTGAAACATCATTCCCACAAATAAAGTGTAGTTTTAGGGAATCAGTTTCATGGCAGCAGTTTAGGTAGCACAGAGACTTTTTCTTATTATTATTCCATGGTTCTACACGAATACCTTAGTTATCTAAATATACTTTCAGTGGTCACACAAAGGTATTCTTACAATGTGAAAGACCCTGAGGTTATGTTGGAGAGATATTTGAAGCAATTTTGTTCGAAATAGTGTTTGGTAAGTTTGCATGGGCCTGTGAGTAGCATGAGCTTGTAGTCCATTAGGATTGACTGGATCTTAATAATATTTATATTTCCAGGCCTTACCAGATGGTTTGATACCTCTCTGTTGGAATTTGTCATTGAGCTGTTGCTATTTTAAAGCTCTGTATGAGTTTAGTATAATTAAAAATAATTCTTACCACTCTGTTGTACTTTGGAGCATACCTACACAGCTCAGCTGGTTTTTACCGAAAGTAGACAATCACAGTAGTGGATTATGACTGGACAAAATTAAAAAAACTAGATTGAAGTCATTTAGTATAGCCAAGGGAACACTTAAAAGAGACAAATGAGGGAAGGTAGCTATGAATATACTGTAGGTCAGTGTTGCAGGAATGTGGATTGTAGCAAGACATTGATGACAATAGTATAGATCAGTGAATTACTATAATTAAAGCCTTAAATTAGGCATTGGTTGATTTATAATAAACAGAAATTCCTAGAGGAAGAAGGTGACATATTACAAATTAAACCTTTTGTAGAATTTGAACTAGTTCTAAGTGTCACTTATTATTTATGTGACTAATTAATAGTGCTTAGGTGAAAATCACCTCTTAAGTAGTCCATCTTGGACTGTAGTAGCTCAGCAATAAGGCAAATGTGTTTTCTTCCAGTAATAATATTTCAGTTAATGGTTTGATTAGAAAACCTTTTCTAACTTTTTTCAATTCCCCTCATCCTGTAGGTTTCACATCACCGAAGGCAGATTCTCTTGCTGCTGATCCTATCACCACAAGCCCGGTAGTTTATACAAGACCAGCAATAAGTAGCTTTTCTTCTAGTGGAATCGGGTTGGGGGAAAGTTTAAAAGCTGGATCGTCATGGCAGTGTGATACTTGTCTACTCCAAAACAAAGTTACAGACAGCAAGTGTATAGCCTGTCAAGCAACAAAATTGCCACCAAGAGATACTGCTAAACAGACTGGAGTTGGGACACCAAGTAAAAGTGGCAAACCAACTCTTTCCACATCAGGGACAGGTTTTGGAGACAAATTTAAACCAGCAGTAGGAACTTGGGATTGTGATACCTGTTTAGTGCAAAATAAACCAGAAGCGATAAAGTGCGTAGCTTGTGAAACACCGAAACCTGGAACTGGTGTTAAGCGAGTCCTTACTTTGCCAGTGGCTTCAGAGAATGCTGTCACCGTGGCTGCTTCATCTTCCAGCTGTACTGTGACCACTGGTGCCTTAGGATTTGCAGATAAATTTACAAAGCCCAAGAGATCGTGGGAGTGTCCAGTATGCTGTGTTTCTAATAATCCAGAAGACAATAAATGTGTGTCCTGTATGTCTGAGAAACCAGGTACGTTAATGGTTGTTTGGAATAATTTTGCTCATTATGTTAGTAGAACATTTTCATTTATTCTCTGTAAAACCACTAAGAAAAACCTGAATATTTTAAATGTTTCAGGATGAACATTTTCTCATATATTTTAACTTTTTAAAGCTATATTGAGGTTAAATGACTTACTTGGGGCTGGATTTGTATGTTTTCTCAGTATAGTCTGTGAATTAATACTTTATCTCTTCTTTGTATGCATTTATACCAGAAACTTCTTGCTCTTCATGATCATTTTCAAAGTTGACTATTAAAAATGTTGAAAGGTCTTAGAATGGGGCAGTCCTTCTTAAACCTCTACACAGAATAAAATATTGTCTGTTTTTCTCTTAGTAAAAGCGAGGATGGCTAGTGGTCATTTCCAGGGAAGGTTTTATTAAGAGGTAGACAGTCTTGCTTTATGAAACGGCTATTGCTGAATGTTAATGGCGATACCAAGACCTGTATGCTATCTGCCAGAGATAGCAATGGTAGTTAATTAGTGAATCATGAGCGAAGAAATTCTGACTTGAGGTAGCTAGAAAAATGGAGTTAGGTTGAGTTTTTTTCTGTTCAGATTTTAAAGAGTTATTAAAGCCTCGCATCTTTAAATGACTTTTTGCTATTTGGTACAATATATGGTGACACGAATACTAAATGAAACATATGAGTATGTTAGGAATTACATGTGTAACTTTATGTCTGCAATGACAAGCTCTGGAGTTATTAGCTTCAACCCCTGTCTGAACACAGAGGGTAAGCCATATATCTGGACGTCTCCACGGGAATAAGATTTCAAAATCTTCATTCTGTATTATCTTTCTCTTTTCACCTGACACACCTCCTCCCCTAAAATAAAAAAGTAATAAGACCTTATACAGGCAAGAAATAAATTAATTCTGAATTGATGGGAAAATAAAACTTTGAGTCAGGCATTGAATTGTTATACATAAAGGAAGCACATATGTATTAATGAACTGTAAATGAGCCATTATTTTAAGCAGAGGAATGATATGGTCAAATTTATATTTTGATAAATCACTTGGTGGCTTTTTGAAAGTGACAAAATTTGGAGACCAGAGCACAGATTAGGGGTGTTGTGTCAATAATATAGGCAAAGATAATGATGTGTACTAATGACATCAAATAAGAATGGGAGGGATGTAGAATAATGTATAATTGAAGACATGATGATTTCAAGCTGCTGAAGTTGACTTTCAGATAGACGGGATGCCTTTGGGTATACTGATAATGGACCCTCTGGGCTAAAGACAGATTGGAGTCATTGCCCATAGTTTCTAATAAGTCGTGAGTAGTGGCGATGGAAAGTTAATGGAGTGAATAGAGAAGGTGGTCTAAAAATGAGCTGTCAAAGAAATGGCAGGAATAAAACTTTGGAAGTAAATTTATTTTTTTATTTGTTTTATAATATTTTTTCCTTCATTGATTTTAGAGAGAGAGAGGAAGTGAGGGGGGGAGAGAGAGAGAACATTGATTGGCCACCTCCTGTATGCCCCCCATTGGGGATCGGGCCCACAACCTGGGCATGTGTCCTGACTTGGAATCGAACCGGTGACTCTTGGTGCATGGGTTGATGCTCAACCACTGAGCCACACCAGCCGGACTGGAAGTTAATTTTTCAAAGGGACAGCCAGAGAAGAAAAATATGGCACTGGTTGGTCTCTGAATGATAGATATACGGGATTAAGTCTCAATAAGAAAGCTATTCCAGCAAGCAATGAGAATAGCAGTAAGGGAGTAAGAAAAGAGAATGAAAAAGATTTGAGAAATATGTAAGGGAGGAGGAACCATCTAGCCAAGCTAATCAGGTAAATAGTGGAACTACCAACTAAGAGACCACAGGGATAAAGCTCAGAAGTGTGACTGCAGGTTCAGATCAGGAAACTTTTGTTGGTGATTAAAGCTCTCAGAGTAGATGAGAACTTGTGAGCAGGGCAGTGGACTAATGGTGGAGCCTTGGAGCAGTTTTATTGGCAAGATGGAGGAGAACATACCAGTAAAACACAGACATCAGGTACTGTGTGAAATGGTGAAAATTGAAGAACGTTTAGAGAAGTAGGGTTACTAGAATGAATGGCTTCACTCAACACTATACAGGGTGAGGCAAAAGGAAGTTTATAGTTGTGAGTACACGAAACAGTTTATTCTTGTATTACTGTTATTGTAGTATTTTCTATGTTAACAACTATAAACCTACTTTTGCTCACTGTGTATTTCTTCATATTCTGCTTTGCTGAGCTTTTCTGTGAAACCTCCTCTCAGAAACTGCTAGTTGTACTTAAAGATTTAAATCTCACCACTGAGTATCCTTCTCCTGCCCCTTGGTGATTTCTTCCTTCCTTGTACTCTTGTATTAGATCGTTTATCACTTTCCATTTTGGTGATGGTGCTATTATTCACTTGTTTTACTTTTCCCTTTTAAGACTCTAAGCACCTTTAGAAGTGAAGCAACATTTTTTTTCATCTTTATGTTCCCAGAACCTAAGTACATTATGGTGTTTAATACATGTCTGTTAGGTGGCTAGCTTATAACAGAAATGCCACGAACATAGTAGGAGGTGTCAAGTAGAATTGCAAAGTGGATGGTAGAATGCTTCTGTGCAAAAATGATCATTTGAAAGGCAGAGATCTGTGCTTTGAAACCTTGAATTTAATATGGTCTGTGGCTATGTATTTTATGTATTAGGATATTGCCTACAATTTATGTATTATGTTTTATAATGCTGTACTGTTTGAAGGAATTGGACAAAGATTATTAAGGAAAATTTGGTTCTAGGCTCTGATTTGTGAGCATGACCCCCCCTTTTTTTTAAACCATGGCTATTCAAACTTGGGGTACTTATCACTGAGCAAAGTGAGTGTGAGCTACTCATAAGATTTAGAGAAATCTAAGGTGTCTATGCTGTTTTTAACAATGTAATGTTTATATTTCTGGCATTTTCTCGTTCTTAATAGGAAACACTAATAAAGATTGAACATTTAGATTTAGTGGTGTCATTAAGATATAGACGACATGTAAATTAGAATTTCCATGTGTTTTTCACTTTGTTTTAGGCAGTTCAGTACCTGCGTCAAGTACCAGCTCTGTCCCTCCCTCTGTGTCTTCAGGAGGCTGCCTAGGATTGGACAAGTTCAAGAAACCTGAGGGAAGCTGGGACTGTGAGGTGTGCCTAGTGCAGAATAAAGCAGATTCTACCAAATGTGTAGCATGTGAAAGCGCCAAGCCAGGCACAAAATCTGAGTTTAAAGGTAAGGCCTCAATAAAGTGTTTCCTTGTATTGCCATTTTTAAGTGAAATATTTGCAAATAGTGTTAGTTTTAAAATTGTTCATTCTCTTGAAAATTAATGTAAATGAGGTATTGTTCTGGACTTTTAATTCACATCTGTCTCTGAATTAGTGTAAGGTTAGATAATTTGAGGTATCATTTCTGCAGCTGGGTAAATAACTATTTTGTCTTATATTATTGAGTCGGAGTTTTAGCTGTTTATTTTTAATTGTTAACCACCCTTTGGCATCTAGATGAATTTTCTGTTTTTTTATTTGACTGGTAATTTATACCCCTAGAACCAGGGTGGGGAATGTCCAGCCCATGAACCGTATAAGGCCCGCAAAATCAATACCAGCCATCACACACCTCACAAAATTAGCCTGACCAAATATAGCAGGCTAATTTTTAAGTTGATAATTTTGTAGGGCCCGTTAGTGATGATATCCATATATATCCATATAGCCCTTGGCAGATAAAAGGTTCCCCACCCCTGCCTAGAACCTTATTAGAAATAATCCAGACTTGGGCTTTGATTGTCCCAGAAAAATAACTCTCAGTATTTTGTTATATAAATATAAAGGAAGAACCTCTCAAAGTAATTTATACTGAACTACCTGGAGGCGAGGTTTTTCAGGTCTTCATATTTCTGTATGAATTCTTTCATATAAGATACAGTCTGGTAAAAATTGTAATAAGCGCTTTCAGAAGAACACTGCTATTCAGTCCACTTTAGTTCCTTCTGTAGCTGTTACCTCATGGCTTCTTTCCCATATTCTCTACTTGTAGTACAGTAGTTGCCACACCTTTAAATGTGTCCCTTTGAGGCAGAAGTGATGACTATATTGTTTTTGGCACCTTTATTTTTAGCTTTCTGTGTAATATCACTTAAGATATCTTACAGATCATGTGGATAGCCAGCTGCTTTTGAGATTCGAATACAATTTTTCAATTACCTCTTTTTAGGGAAAGAAAAATGGGTGGGTAATCATTAAAGGGGGACATCTAAAGATGAGGGCTTGCAAAGCTTGGCTGTTTTTTGTCTTTATTTACATATGGGTAAACAGAGTAATGGGTAAATATCTTAGACCCTTTAATCGTGTTTGAGTCCATCAAGTGCTTCGTTTCCAGATCACTAGCTATAGAAAAGCATTATGTATTGATCGTGGCAATGCAGTGTTGTTTATCTTTTAAAATATTGTTTTCACTGATGTATTTCTTCTGGTTCTTTGATGCTAATTTAAAAAAAATACTTGAGTAAATAACATTCATAAGACTTAAAAATCAGATGATGACAAGATTCACAGTGAAAAGTCTATTTCTTGTCCCCATTGGCTCATTTTCCATCCTCCTTCTCCTACCAAACAAATAACTATAGTTACTTTCTTATAACTCTTTCAAAGTTTCTTTATGCACATCATAAGCAAATATATTCTTCTGTAGATTCTTACTTTCCGCTACCAGGTTTGATTATATGCCATACTGCCTTTCTGCTTCCTTGGTTTTATCACATATTAGCTTGGACATACATTTTTCTTCATTCACAGTTGCCCAGATTGTGAATGGCATTTTTTTGTGACTCTGAGTTTAGTTTGTTTTTAAAATGAAGACACAGCTGTAGAATTGCTGAGTCAGAGGATATGTGTGTTCGTAATTTTTTTTGTAAATATTGACAAAATGCTTTTTATACCTTTGTGCTAATTTACATACATACCTGTAATGTATAAAGTATCTGTTATGCCCTGGCCGGTTTGGCTCAGCGGTTAGAGCATCAACCTGTGGTCCCGAGAGACCCGGGTTCGGTTCCCGCTAAGGGCATGTACCTCAGTTGCAGTTTGTCCCCGGCCCTAGTTGGTCGTGCGGGTGGCAGCCACTCGATATGCCCCTTTCACATCGATGTTTATCTCTCTCTCTCTCTCTCTCCCTCCCACTCTACCTGAACAAAAAAAATGGAAAAAATGTCCTTGGGTGAGGATTAAAAAAAATAAATAAAGTATCTGTTATTCCTGTTAATGTATCAAATCTCTGCCAGTCTGATAGATGAAAAGGGGCATGTCTGTATAGTTGTAGGGATTGGGATATAGTTCTCATGCTGAATTTTGGGCAATTTGGTTTATGTTTACTGCCATTGCTAATACTCTTCAAGTGGGCTTTTTCAGAGTTATTCCTATGTCCCTTTGGTTTTCAAGGTTTACATTTTGTTTGAGAGGACAGTATTAACTCTGTGTCCTTGTGGTGTCTTGTATTTTTGAAGGCTTTGGCACATCTTCATCTTCGAACCCAACAGCCTCATCCTTCAAATTTGGTATTCCATCATCCTCTTCTGAACCTTCTCAGACTTTAACAAGCCCTGGAAATTTTAAATTTGGAGATCAAGGAGGCTTTAAAATAGGTGTGTCATCAGATTCTGGGTCTTTAAACTCCATGAGCGAAGGCTTTAAATTTTCTAAACCAGTAGGAGATTTTAAATTTGGAGTTTCATCTGATTCTAAACCGGAAGAAGTTAAAAAGGACAGTAAGAATGATAATAATTTTAAGTTTGGACTTCCTTCTGGTTTAAGCAATCCAGGTTCTTTAGCTCCATTTCAGTTTGGAGTGTCTAATCTTGGGCAGCAAGAAAAGAAGGAGGAACTGGCTAAACCTTCACCTGCAGGCTTTAGTTTTGGTACGGGTGTTATTAACCCTGCTCCTGCTGCTGCTAACACCATGGTGCCCTCTGAGAACAAGAGCAACTTCAGCTTTGGAACTATCGAAACCAAGAGTGTCTCAGTGGCTCCTTTCACATGTAAGACGTCCGAAGCAAAAAAAGAAGAAATGCCTGCCGCCAAAGCAGGGTTCCCTTTTGGCAATATGGAACCTGCCCCTCTGCCATCTGCCTCATTGTTTGATTTGGGAAGGACAGAAGAGAAACAACAAGAGCCTGTCACTTCTACTTCTCTAGTGTTTGGGAAGAAAGCTGACAATGAAGAGCCAAAGTGTCAACCAGTATTTTCCTTTGGGAATTCAGAGCAAACCAAAGATGAGAGTTCTTCCAAGTCGACCTTTAGTTTCAGTCTGGCAAAACCGTCTGAGAAGGAGTCCGAACAGCCAGCCACAAAGGCCACTTTTGCTTTTGGAGTTCAAACCAGTACGACAGCTGGTAAGTATTAAACATTTTCTTTTACAAGGTATTTTTGATATCTTGACAAATGCAGAAAGTCAAGGAATGGTTTACACTGAACATATATGAGAGAGACTAGTAACAGAACTCTTGGGAAAGGAGCCTAGGATTTTCATTTTTAACTGTTTCAAATCCCCATGATTCTTGTGAAGTTATCTACAGATCTAATTTTTTTTTTTTTAAATCCTCACTCGAGGACATTTTTGCATTTATCTTCAGATAGAGCGGGAGGGAAAGAAGGAGGAAGAGAGAAACATCGACGTGAGAGACACACATCGACCATGAGAGACATACATCAACTGGTTGCCACCCACATGACCCCAACCGGGGCTGGGGACAAACTGCAACTGAGGTACGTGCCCTTAGTGGGAACTGAACCCTGGACTCTGTTCCGCGGGCCAACACCCTAACCGCTGAGCCAAACTGGCCAGGGATCTACAGATCTAATTTTGAGAAATAAAGTTCTAATGGAAAACCCACAGTATTGCATAGTTGTTCATGTCTTTCTTTCTGTTTGGGCTTTATAATCAGAATTGGCATATATTATTCAGGAAAATAGGCATTCTTTCTTAATCTCATGAATATTTTCTAGGTATTAAAATCTTTATATTTACAAAATAGTTAGAAATAACCAGTCATCATCGACCATGTAAGGAACATAGACAAATATGATTAATCCCTGAGAAATAGAGGCGATTATGGAAACTAAAATTTTGAAGAAAAAAATGAAAAAGCATCAAAAGTTTAAAAAGCATGGTTGGTGAAACAAAATTATTTTATGGACTGATTAGCAGGAAAAACGAAACTGATAATCAGAATAGTGAACTGGAATTTTTCAGAACACAGTGCAAAAATAGAGAAAGATTGATTCAAGCTAGATTCACAAGTTCCATTGGAATAAGAGTCCTTAGAAGGTAAGCGCAGTACTATGGAGGAACTATCAGAGAGTGACAGAGAAAATTTCCTTGATGTAAAGAAAAGCATTGGTCTTAAAAATGGAAGTGGCCTACTGATTGACAAAGGCCAGTGAAATTTTAAGATGCCAAGCCAAAAAATCCTGAATGCTTTCAGAGAAAAGCTGTTTGCCATAAATAGTTACTTAATTAGCATCATACTTCTAATTTGTAACATTTGAAGCTAAAAACAGAGCAGTGTCCTCAAAGTGAAAATGGTCTTTGAACCTAAAATTCTATAACCAGCCAAATTTCATCAAACATAAGGGCAAAATGTAGATGTTTTCAGACAAGCAAAGAATCAAAAGTTGAACACCCATGAATATTTTGGAATAATAAATTGGAAACACAACCAAAATCAAAATTAATCTTGAAAAAATAGTATGAATGCAACAAATAGGTGTGTTGCTTTTATTGAATTTTTTACTTGGAAATTTAAAAACACCCTTCAAAGAAAATAAAAGCTAAATTATATATTATTTGGAAAGGAATAAAAGTGAGATAGGGTTTGCCCTGGCCGGTTTGGCTCAGCGGTTAGAGCGTCGGCCTGTGGTCCAGAGAGACCTGGGTTCGGTTCCCGCTAAGGGCACATACCTCGGTTGCAATTTGTCCCCGGCCCTGGTTGGTCGTGCAGGTGGCAGCCACTCGATGTGTCCCTTTCACATCGATGTTTCTCTCTCTCTCTCTTCCTCTCTCTCCCTCCCACTCTACCTGAACAAAAAATGGAAAAATGTCCTCGGGTGAGGATAAAAAAAAAGTGAGATAGGGTTTAATCAAATTTAATTACAGCATCTCTATATTGTTTCCACTGAAACAGACCCCTTAACTCTCCTATATACCAACTTGAAAGTGAGCTAAAATGCTCCATTTTCTGTAACCTATTCTAATGCCTAATACCATAATGTGACCAGCTCTGTCTAATAGACAATATTGGAACTGAGATGTTATTGGAACAGTTTTAGAAAAAGTCATCAGCCCTGGCCGGTTTTGCTCAGTGGGTAGAGTGTCAGCCTGTGGTCAAGAGAGACCTGAGTTCGGTTCCTTTTAAGGGCACGTATCTCAGTTGCAGTTTGTCCGCAGCCTTGGTTGGGTTGTGTGGGAGGCAGCCACTCGATGCGTCCCTTTCACATTGATGTTTCTCTCTCTCCCTCCCACTCTATCTGAACAAAAAATGGAAAAGTGTCCTCGGGTGAGGATAAAAAAAATAAAGTCTTCAGTAAAGTGGTTGGATTCAGAATCATTATATAAGAATCAATAGCTTTCCTTCAAAGTCATCAGTAAAGTGTTGGACAGTATATCTCATCTGTGTTTTCTAACATTTTTCATTTGTATTTTATAATAGCCACTGATCTTATTACATGCTAACATAATAAAGAAATATTTAATACTTGTTCCTGAGTGAGTATATTTCTCTCCCTCTCAGCTCTCACCCCCAATATAATTTCAGTTCTTAGAGGAATTTTTGTGGAACTTGACAAGCTAAGCTTTTCTAAATTTCATATGGAAGGACAATGCACAAAACATTTTGGGGAGGAGGGGCCGGCACACAGACAGGTTTGCCTTAAACTAAATATCAAGCCATACTGTAAAGCTACAATAATTAAAACAGTTTAGTAATAATAACTGTGGAAGAAACAAATGCATGTATATTTGGAATTTAATATGTAATAAAGCTGGAGTTATAAAATAGTGAGCACAAGATGCACTCACCTGTCAATAACATGCTGCACAGAAAATTGGCTATTATATTTCAATTTTAAATTGAAGTTCTGATCCTGCTAACATAAATTGCAAAATCAGATTTATAAAAGTACAGCTGTCTTCCACTATCTGAAACTTATCAAAACACAGTATCCAGTTAGGTTTGGATTTAAGGTATATTTTTATTTTTATTAATCTGAATGATGGAGGTTTTCCTACGTATGACAGAAAATCCGTAAGCTGTAAAAGAATAGATGAATATATTTGATTACATCAAAATTTAATGTACTAGATATGTCCATTTGATAAACAAATGAATATATATAAAAATTGTTTTCTAATGACTTTTTAGATTGTAAGATAGGAAAAAAGTGCTTTCTGTGATTACTTGTTCTTAAAGATTTTTGTTTGTTTCTTAATTTCTGTCATACAGATCAAGGTGGAACGAAGCCAGCTTTTAGTTTCTTGAACAATTCCTCGAATTCAAGTACACAAGCTACGTCAGCTGGTGGCAGCATATTTGGTAGTTCCACTTCCTCCAGTGCCCCGATGGGTGCCTTTGTGTTTGGACAGGCCAGCAACCCTGTGAGCAGCTCTGCCTTTGGTAACCCTGCTGAGTCCAGTACATCTCAGTCTTTGCTGTTTCCTCAAGAGAGCAAACCAGTAACCACATCCAACACGGGTACAGCTGTTACCCCATTTGTCTTTGGTCCAGGAGCCAGCAGTAATAATACTGCAACCTCTGGTTTTAACTTCGGAGCTACAACTACGTCTGGCTCTTCAGGTACTTTTAAAAAAGAAAAAACAAAACAAAACATACATGTACTAGGATTTGCTTTAATTATGAATATATCAAGTCTTATGAGATAATATGGCAGCTTATCACAAAATGGCATGGTTACCTTTACATCATCTATACTTTGATGTTGTAGTTGTTCACTCTGGTATAACGTACATCTAAGTTTAACATGATCAACTCTTCAGAGCAGTTTTTCTAATCTAAGCAAGAGTATTATCTTCAGTTTTTCTAAGTAAGGAACCAGAAACGGGGGATTATTTTATTAGATATTAGTCCTCATTGTGCAGTATGTACGTGCTACAACATTAGCTGATTTCTGCAGTGTGTTAAATTTCTGATGAGGTCAGTTGGCTTCTTAGATATATTTCATTGAACTAAAATTTTTTGACTATGCAGGTGGGAAGTCTTATTAATAGAAGTTTTTGTTTATGTGGATTCCATATAGTTTTATTAAATAATAGTAAAGAGAATTGAATTCTTATAATCATTCAAAACTTAGTGGGATTTTTTTTTTTCCAGCAAGGTAAGAATCTGAAAAGAAGCTTGAAATTTGCTTTTGACTTCAGAGATTTCTTGTGGATTTTCTCTAGCTACCCTGATAATTTACATAATTTTTTGGGCCTATAGGATGCTCCTTTGTGTTTGGCACTGGACCTTCAGCACCATCTGCCAGTCCAGCATTTGGTGCTAACCAAACCCCAACATTTGGACAAAGTCAAGGTGCCAGCCAGCCTAATCCCCCAGGCTTTGGATCTATATCATCTTCAGCATTATTTTCTGCTGGTTCTCAGCCTGCACCGCCTACGTTTGGGACAGTGTCAAGCAGTAGCCAGCCTCCTGTGTTTGGACAACAGCCTGGTCAGTCTGCATTTGGCTCTGGAACAGCTCCAAATTCCAGTGAGTGTGTACTAGTGATGTAGTTTATATCTCTACTTAGGTTCTATATGTCCTACATGTAATATTTTTGTTTGAACTTGGAAACATGCATGTCTTATTTTTTTTTGTCAATTGTACTCAGTAAAATAGAGAAGTGTATGTTTAGTCTTACCTATAAACCACATACATTCCCAACTTTGACACATTTTTAAGCATTTTTAAAGTATTAAAGCTTTTCTCCCCATCTGAGTTTGGGGGCATTCTAGCCTAGATTTCAACTGTAGTCTTTTCTAATCCTCTTTGTGATTGGATTTACTTCAGGAAATTATGCCCCAGCCCCAGTACTCTATCCTGGGACAGTCCATCGAGTCGTCTCATGTCACTTTCTATTTGATGATAAAAACCTTTTCACTTGACTTGTATGTTTAAACACATGGTTCTGTGTTTGTTTTTAACCTAGTTAACGAAATGGTATTATACAGGGTGGGGCACAAGTAGGTTTACAGTTCACATGAAACTAATACAAAAATTAATAAATAATAATACAGCCCTGGCCGGTTTGGCTCAGCAATTAGAGCATTGGCTCACGAACCAAAGTGTCACTGGTTCGATTCTGGTCAAGTGCATGTACCTCATTTATGGTTCAGTCCCCAGCCCTGGTCAGGGTCATGTGAGAGACAAGCAATCTATGTGTGTGTCTCCCATTGATGTTTCTCTCTCTCTCTCTCTCTGTCTTTCTCTGTCTCCCTCCCTCCCCCCTCTCTCCCTCACTTTTTTCTTCCCTCACACTCTATTTGAAGATAAATGGAAAAATATCCTCGGGTGAGGATTAACATAATAAAAATAAAAAATAATCATAATACTAGAATAAACTCGGTTTTGGGTACTCACAACTTTAAACCTACTTTTGCCCCACCCTGTAATTATGGATGCAGTGACAGATCAGTATTCTGAGTATGCAGACGCTGTGTGGTCTACTGTGATTTTTCCTACAGAAAGTTTTGTTTTCTCTGGCATTAATGATCCCCTCTTTGTGTAGATCTCTTCTCAGTATTTTCAAATACATTGGCTGTTTTTCAGTATTTGAAAGAAGTTTCTCACAGAATTTTCTAAACTGCTCCTCCCACCAGGTTTTCTGTAGAGGCTTACTGTTTAACTGAGGTCCAGGGGATCCTTTTTACCAATTGTCTTGGAGATTCCCTTTAGCTTCCTCTTAAAAGCATCTCTCTTTCCTGGGTGTCATGTCTTCTTCCCTCTAACTACTTTGTTTTGATAATAGCCATTCTAACAGGTATGATACAGAGCAGACCTTCCAATGATTTTGTTTTAAAGGACCCCAGGGAAGAAAAGTCTGAGACCTTACATTTCTGGAAGGATTTTTATTTTGCCCCCATGTTGGTAAGATTTTGGTTGAATATAGATTTAGTTTGTACATCATTTTCTATATCTGTTCATCTGTCAGTGGACATTTAGGTTGTTTCCACATCTTGGCTATTGTGAAGAATGCTGCAGTGAACACAAGAGTCCAGATATCTCTTTGAGATACTGATTTCAGATCTTTTGGATATATACCCAGAATGGGATTGCTGTATCATATGATAGTTCTAGTTTTAATTTTTTGCAGAACCACCATACTGTTGTTTTCCATAGTGGCTGTACCAATTTACATTCCTACTAACAGTACACCAGGGTTCTCTGTTCACATCCTTGACAGCTATTGTTATTTCTTATCTTTTTGATAATAGCCATCCTAACAGGTATGATATTGAGCATCCTTTCATATACCTGTTAGCCATTTGGAGAAATGACTATTCAAGTTCTCTGCTCATTTTTAGTTGGGTTTTTTATTTATTTATTTTTTACTGTTGAGTTGTAAGAGTTGCTTATATATTTTAGAGATCGGCCCCTTATCAGATATTTGTTTTGCAGATATTTTCTCCCATTCTATTCATAATTTTGGACACCTAAATACTACTTGATAATTCTTTGTACATGGTTAGGGCATATAGATCTTGAATTTCACTGTAGTTTTATCAGACTCTCCTGTTTACTTGGGAAGACTTGGATTTCAATGTGTTTAGGTCTTTCAGTTCCCCAGAGAAGATTCTTCCTAGTCTCCTGCCTGGAGGGTCAGGTATGTCCTGATTGCCAGCACCTGGGAGCTGAGTCAGAGAGGAAGGTTGCAGTCCTAAGTATTCATTGTATCAGCACTACTCTTAGTCCTATTTTCTTCTTCTTTTTTAAGTACATGTTTTTATTGATTTTTTTTTTTTTTTTTTTTTTTTTTAGAGAGGGAAGAAGAGAGAGAGAGAGAGAGAGGTAGAAACATTGATGTGAGAGAGATATATCAATCAGCTGCCTCCCACATGCGCCCTACTGGGGATCAAGCCCACAACCCCAGGCATGTGCCCTGACTGGGAATTGAACCGGGACCTCTCAGTCCATGGGACGACGCACATTCCACTGAGCCACACCGACCAGGCTAGTCCTTCTGTTTTAATGTTCTTGCCTTTACCTGTGCAGGATGACCTGCCCCCAGTCAGAGACTCTCCAGAGAATAAAGCTGTTTTTCTGGTGGGGTAGAGGAGATGGACCATCTTGTTTAGTGTTGGGAAGGGATTGACCCTGGGTATCTTCTTCTACCATCTTTTCTCTCTCTCTGTTCCTCTTTTTTTTTAACGTTCACTCTCACTTTCAGAAGTACCTGGAACCTAACCCTTTTGAGTATGTCTAGTGTGAGTGGAATTGCTTCTGTGCGTTCCCTGCTGCTAAGTTAGTATTGAGCTCCTGTCAGCCTTCTGGCTTCTGCATTTTATTTCTGTTGTCTCTTCTCCCCATCTTAGTAAAACTCCTTTTACTGTTATATTAGCATAAGTTTTGAAGAAGATAGGCTAAATTGTTTATTGATTCTACTGTCTTTAACCAGAAGTTCACTCTGCCACTTTTTCTTTGGTCATGGGTAAGTTGGGTCACTTATTGGACGATGTCAAGTATGTGTCAATAGAGAAAATACTCAATTTTCTTTAAGTGATCATAAGAGATCTTAACCCTTTATTATATTTTGTATTAAAGGAAAGGATCAGAGTCATTTCTAGAGAAACTATAATTTTTACCTTAATGTTTTTTTGCTTCAACACTTGTAGGTTCAGTTTTCCAGTTTGGCAGCAGCACTACAAATTTCAACTTCACAAACAACAATCCGTCAGGAGTATTCACATTTGGTGCAAATCCGAGCACAGCTGCAGCCTCAGCCCAGCCTTCTGGCTCAGGGAGCTTTACGTTTAATCAGCCGTCAGCTTCATTTACAGTGGGGTAAGAGATCTTTTTGTTGAAGTGGAGAATTTAACATGGTATGGGTGTGCATGTGAATGAGTGTATGTGTGCTTTGTCTTTAAAATCACCAAAGTGCAATATAGTTCAGGTAAAAGCAAGTATGTTCTCCAATATCAATTCACCATATTACAGTTTTGGTGGATCATAGCCTGAAAAAAAAAAGCAGTGTGTGTGGTGTACAACAGAAAATATGTTTGCTTGAACAGTGTAGTGTCTCTTCTCCCCCCCTTGTCACTGGTCACATTTAGAGTTATGATTCTAAAATTTTGAACATCATGTCACATTTTAAAGTTTTTATTTTCACAGGTCAAATGGGAAAAATATGTTCTCTTCTGGAACTTCAGTTCCTGGTCGCAAGATAAAGACTGCTGTTAGACGCAGGAAATAAAGGTCACAAGTTTTAACAAAAGCTGGTGTCCTGCTTTTAGATACTGGATTGTACTACATGCTGGAGTTATCTGAAGTCAAATCTGTCTGCCTAAGGACTTCTTTGATTTTAGAATTTTCCTCTTTCTTTCTTTACAAAAGCCCCGCCGTCATTTCTCGCTACACCGTTTTAAAACAATAATAGACTGATGACTGACTCTTCAGCAAAAATATTTTATGATCCAGCAAATTATTCACTGATTTGGCTTAGGCTGGCTGAATTCAGGAATGGAGCCCGCTCAGTGAATGGCTTTGTATAGAACCTCTTCGTCTGCACCATTATGTGCGTTGATATGCGTTTATGGAACGCATTGATAATTGTAATTATATCTGAGGAATTCTGTATAGATTAGAGGATCTTGAAATGAATGATTTCTATGCTGAGTTTGTGCTGGTATATGTGTGAAGTGAGTGAGTTTGGGTGTATTGTGCACTAAAATTTTCTGATAGAGGAAGCCTGATTAAAGAATGGTCCATGCTGAGGACTTGTTAGATCTAGTTCCTTCTCCACTTAATAATTATATGCTATTTCTATATTTTCATTCTTCTATCACCTGTCTTGCCTTTTTCATTATTTTATTATGAAACTTGTGTAAATACAGTTTTGTTTCTGTACTTTTTTGGCATAACATAAATCTGTGAACTTGAAATTTTAATTTTGTGTTAGAATTTTTTTGTTGTTGTTTGTTTAGTCTTGTCTCAGATTTTATTATGTAAATCCCATTATTCAAAGTTGCCTAAATCCATTTGGAAATCTTTAAAAAAAAATTGGGGATTCTTAAAGTGAATTTATTGGCTTTTCTGATCCAGTTTTGTTTGGACCAAAAACCAGTATTGTACAAAGTATTAAGCATATATTTTTATATTTACTGAAATGGACTGTGGTGACTTTGGATAATAAGGAAAAGTTTAATATTAAAGCCATGTTTATTACAGTATAATTAACATGTTAAACCATGGGATAAATGCCATCAATAAAAAATTGTGAAATCCTTTTTGTTCTAGTGCTAACTCTGGAAAGGAACCTTTTTATAAAGGTTAATGGTCAGTTAGAAGATAAATTTCAGAGAATGCTTTTAAGTAATTTGGATAACTCCTAAGTGAATGGGAAAGTGTCTGAATTTACAGCATATTGAAGGTACCTGCTTTTTGTCTGGTGCTAGGAATCATGCCTACTTTGCATATAAATTGACATACCTTTTTAAAAGTTGGAAATAAACACACAATCATTTCTGTTTGTACTTGTATCTTCCTTGATAGGTGACTAGACACTGGTTTTTGATCAAGTTTGGCCCGAGCCGCTCACAAAATCTTCAGTGGTCTTTTTGTGTAATTTTTTTTTTCCTGAATATTTTACCAATTTTTTAAAAATTAGATTTATTTTCTGTGGTTCATAAAAGAGCTTGTGGGGCAGCATTTGGTAATTATATTCTTCAGCTTGAATGCACAATCATGTTGTGCTTTTATTTTGTTGAACTGGTTGGGGTGTAAATTCACAACTTAGATTTAGATTTCTGGTGTATGTTTACAATGAAAAGATATTTTTCCTATTAAAAAGATCTTAGGCAATCATAAATGCTGGTTTTGGAATAGAAATTTTGTTTTTTAATTTTTTTTTAAATTTTTTTATTTTTTGTATATGCCCCTAGTGGGAACCGAACCCAGGTCTCTCTGGTCCGCAGGCTGACGCTCCAACCGCTGAGCCAAACCGGCCAGGGCAGAAATTTTGTATTTATAATGCACATTTGACATGGACCTGTTTGGGCATAAACAGTGATGGTGAAGGTTGAAGAAGTAAACTGGAAATTTGTGATTTTAATGCAGAGAAGTTAATGCCTGAATTGCAGGTCAGTTCATTCTAAGCCGTTCTTTAGGCCCATGTGGATGGGAATATTAGGCCTTCAATTCTTGGAAAGATTTTTCATAAGAAATGTGCTAGAAAGGTTTTATTTTACTTAGTACTCCCCCCCCCCCCCTTTTTTTTTTAATACAAGTGACTGAACAGCTACGCTTCAAGTGGCTTTTCTTAAAAATGAAATCTGGCCCTCCCGGACTGAAGTATATGGGCCTGTATTCAGGACTTGGGACTTGTTTTTTCCCTCTCGGTGGCTGTAATTCTCAGGGTGCACCTAGCGGCACTGACTTCCAGCCTGTCCCTGTTCAAGCTCCACAGAAGTATCTTTGTATCAGACTGGCTCAGGCAGGCTCTAGACCCACTTCTGATCCACTCCTTGTGGCTGTGATGGCAGCCTTGGGCCAACTAGGGTTATATGCGCCATACACAAGTGAAAATGGAAGGGGTAAACACAACCAAAACAAAATAAAAAGACAGTATTAGCCCACTTTTTGTGCTGGACCACTGAGGCATTAAAAAAATGATTTTAGAGGGAGAGGGAGAAACATCAACAGGCTAGGGATCGAGCCTGCAACCTTGACCCAGAATTGAACTGGTGACCTCTTAATGCATGGGATGATGCTCAACCAACTGAGCCACACAGGCCAGGGCAAGGAGGGTTATTTTTAACTGACAGTAATCTCTGAAGGGAAGAAAACTTTATGCAGAAAGGTTGAAGTCAATATGTGTATATAATTTGAAAAAGAGGGTCAGTAGTTGTCACTGAATATACATCAATATAACTTGTATCAAATGTATATTCTAGGACCTCCTCATCAGAGATTAATTCACTGGGTCTGGGTAGGGTCCAAAAATCTACATCATTAAATAAGTACCTGGAGGACTTTAAAGTTGTAGGTTGTTTTGAGTAATTTATGAATTTCAGGCATTAAAATTCATAGAATGGAAAAATTTGTCTTTAAGCAAGCTACTTATTTAATCCTCACCCAAGGATATATTTTTATTGATTTTGGAGAGAAACATCAATATGAGAGAAACATTGATCTGTTGCCTCCCATATGCACCCTGACTGGGCACGAACCCACAAGCTTAGGTATGTGCCCTAACTGGGAATTGAACCTGCCACCTTTTGTTGTATATGGGACAGTGTTCCAACTAACTGAGCCACTCTGCCAGGGCTAGCTGCTTGTTTGTTACAGATTCTCCCCTGAAATTGTGTCAAGATTTTATTTGAAATAAAAGTGATGGACTAATTTGAACAATTTATAATCAAGCCTTAAATTTTCTGGTTTAGCCTGGGAAGAATTTGTATTTGCTTTAATTGTATTAGTACAGCCATGTGTCATTTGGCCAGGGATAAGTTGAGTTTGTGTCAGGCCAGTTTGTCACTAAGTATCTTGTAGTGCAAACCTAGATGGTGTAGCCTACTACACACCATGGCAGTTGCTCCTAGGCTACAAACCTGTACAGTTCATTACTCTGTTAATACTGTAGGCAATTGTAATGCATTGTGCTAAGACACTTCAATGGCTGTGTTATCACTAGGCATTGGAAATTTTTCAGCTCCACTGTAATTTTATGGTACCACCGTTGTGCATGTGGTTCATTGTTGACTGAAACATCATTATGCAGGACATGCACAAATGTCATTTCCTGGGCCTGTTCATATATAAAGTTTGAAACAATGGAAATTTTACAAAGGTTAGCCTGTGTTTAATGAAAACTGACAAATTTGGTAAAGTTGAAGAAATGGGTGTGTGGGGTCTAGCTACACACACCAGCTGTATAACCATGTCAGTGCCTTTATTTCCTGATAATATGGGCAACTTTTATAAACTTACCTCAAAAGTCCACTCTAGTTCCACAATGTGTAGTTTGTAGCTGGGCTCATAAGAGCACATTGTCTATAAGGACTCAGTCAGACCAAGCCCTAGTTTAGCTACATTTATTTATCTTTCAGTAGCTTTGTCCTTGAAGAACCTGTTTTGTGGTCTGTCCTCTAGATTTGTGAAGGTTAGAATAGGAAATGCTTATAAGATCCGAACTAGGTTTAAATTGCCCAGCTGAGTCATTGACAAGCTCTGAATCTTGGGTTGGGTCCTTACTATCTTACATGATGGTTGGGATGGTTAACCCCTTTAAGACAAGATTAGTTTAACATTAAGCACAGTCATCTATAGGTACCTTTGGAATGACTTGCTAAAAGAATATATCCTAAAAAGTGTATGATGATTTTGGTAGACCTCTATTTCTGAAAGCCCTCTAGTTGACTCCTCGAGCCACCTTCCTGAAGGCAGAAAGCTGTATTTGGAGGAAGTTCTCCCTCAGGAGCTTCTAAAGCACACCTTTTCAAAACAGCGGGCAACACAGAATCATTGGTGACCAGGTATTTATTGAGACAGAGAATACAAATTGGCAGCATACAAATTATTAAAAATAGAATGCTGAATGTATTTATAGGTAGGCCATCAGATGTTGTTTGCGGGTCAAGCCCTATTATAATGGCTGTAAGGAAATACACAGTTTGAAATGAGGAACTTCACCCAGCCAAGTACATATTTTCAAGATTTTGACCTTTGGTTCTGGGGATTGGGGAATGGCAGTAATTGAAATGATACTTGTCGGATTTGAGAATACCGCTGTTTAGAAATACTCTTCAAAAGAATCAACAGCCTGGGATAGGTGTAGAATAAAAATATTTAATGCCCCTATTCCCCTCAAAAAGCCCTTTATTCCCAAGTAGCAAATTGTTTAATTTTCCATTCCTACCTTCCTTTTGCTGGAAATACTTATGTATTAGTGAAACACAAGGGTACATTTTTCGTCTTGAGTTAAAACAATTTTTATCACCATTTGAAACAAAAAACACTGAAGACTAATTTTTGTAATTTAGACAAAGTGGCCCTCAAATATAACACTTTTTCCCAACACTAAGTATTTGGGTAAAACTGGAAGGTAAATGTTTAGGTAGAAAGAAGTTACTTCTGAACCAGTTCTACTCAAGTATCAATTGGGCAATATTTTAAAGCAAAGGCTTACTATCAAAAAAAGTGTTGGCTTTATTTCTGTGGTCACAGATTAGTCTAAAAGCAAGGCTTGCGTCTCACACTCGGCTACTCGAGGCCCAGCGTGAGTATTAATGTCAGACTTGCTCAATTGAACTAGCCACTCAGGGCACCTCCAGTAAGGGGTACTGAGATTTCCTAGAGGCCTCAAGTTCACCATCTGTGGTTTTACTTAGGGCCCATTCATTGAAATAGCTCAGCTTGACTTCTAATTTTTGTTCCATTATTTGCTTATGCTTACGTTGTGAAAGTGAATGATGCTTGTAATAGGAAGACAACTTTCTGCCTTTTTAGGCTAGAACTTCATCATGAGAATTATACTTTGACCCAGAAAACCAGCATTTCCATGAATGATATATACTAAGTAAAAAAGTACTGAAAAGAGGGATCGATTCTCCACTCTTTACAATTCCAAGAGAAAAAATGGCTCCTCCTTCTTCCTTATTGTTTTATCACATTTTTCAATTATTTGGGCATCAAAAATCTCTTAAGTGCTGAATTCATAAATAGAGACAGGCTTCGATTTTTTTTTGTTGTAAAGGCAGACAAAATACTTGTAGAGCTATATAGATAGTATAACTTGACTCCTGAGATGGATCTAAATAAACCTGTATAGATGTGCAATGTTTTAAATACAACAAATGAAACTGGACTACTTGTTTGCTTTGTTCTACTATATAAATAAAAACAGATGGTAAATAATCTAGTATCTGAGAGAAATAATACATTCAAGATAAATTCCAAAGTTACATGACTGAAGGACATTTCAACTTGAATTCCCAACCAGGGGCAAAAAATAGTGTACGTATACACTAAGTGGTAAGTTTATGTAACATTTCCTAATTTCTAGTCTAATAAAATTTCAGTTTTATTATTTTTACTGTGAAGGGGCCACACCTTCCCAGAGGCTACATGTGAATGATCTGTTTAATACTATGGCACACTTAACTGATAGGCATTCTGTGATGTTGGATTTAATATAAAATTATTTTGAAAAACATGGTTTATGAAGTTTTACAATAAAAGGTATTAATAAGGACATTGTTAAGGTTTCTATAACCATCAAATGTGCATGTTTTCAGTTTTAACTGTCAAAGGAAAACCCCCTTTAAAAATTGATACAATGATAGTAGACATGTTTTGCATCTGCTAATAAACTTAATACCAAAAATAAAGCCTAGATTGACCCTTTAAGCAATCTAATTATGAACTGTCCAACAGAGTTAGTGTTTTTGTTTTTGAAAATATCACAGTTGGAGAAAATGTCTAAGAAACAAAACTTAATTCAGGTACATCTCAACACAGCTAACTGGGTCATCGAACAAAAGCACGCATACACTTGAAACCACAACTTCGCTTCAATAGAAAAATAAATTAAAATGGCAATACACAAAGTGTTACTTTGCTTAACATTCCCTCAAACCATCATCCATGGCAGGCCCAAAATATAAGCTTTTAGCTCACAGAACCAAAGAACATAGAATTAATGTCTGGAAATGCTACTCTTCCTTGTTTTAGAACAGTCCATAATGGGAAAATTGCTACTGATATTTCACAAATTACCAGTATTTAATCATGAAATACTCAGATTATTTAACTTGGTGTTTCAAAAGTTATGGAACTATATAAAATATAAAAGGAAACTAGTATGTAAATATCCTGTGTGTAAAGAGAAGTTATATTCAGAACACTGAAAAGCACTAATACTTTCTTCATGCTGTACACACACTGGGAATATAGTTTTACAGTAAATTATGCAACAGTTTTATGGAAGTAATTTCCCCCCACATAGTTATAGTTTGATTTAGGGCACTGAAAACACTTGCACATAAAATTTTAAGTTAAATTTACAGTGAACCCCACCCCCCATTAAAAGCAATCACTAACAGCTTTTCTTTAAAAAGTCAATATTAATACAGCAATGTGACAATACTTTTTCATCATGCAAAACTTTGCCTCAAAAATACATGTTGAAGCATTAAGAACAGTAAAGTTACATCAATCCCACAGTACACTGCAGTACAGAGTTTTAAACTTTGGGTAAGGGAACTGGTGGGCCTGCCTCACTTCCCTTCTCTTGCAGTAAAACTCACTCACCACCTCCTGGGATGGGAGATAAGTGAGTTACCCCATTAGTGACCCCACCACCCCTAAAAAGCAAAGACAACAATTTCCCCAAGAAGTGTTGACTACAAGATGAATAATGTGTTTATAAAACACAACTGGACATTTTCCATCATTTTGGGATAAACCAAAATAAATTTTTAAAGTTTCATTTGGAGATTTCAAAGCTGAAAATGCCTTAGATCTTAGTATATATTGTCCATTGTTGATTATGAAACCACTTGCCTTCTTTTTGATCTAATATTTTAATACTTGAATTCAACAGGTTTTTCTTCTGGAAAAGTTCTTTGGCATTCAAGTAAAACCAATACTTTCAGAACAGTCACCTGTATCACACTGGAGCGAGTGCTTTAATTTCTAAATCAATTAATGTAACCCAGGGATACTGATGGCCTTGATACATAATTTAGTCTTGTCATAATTCCACTGTATGGAATTCAGGGCCTTTGGGGGCATCATCTGACCCCGTTTCTTTTTACCACAATGGTTCCTGCGACAATGTCATAGGCTGTTCGATTATGCTGAAAAAACAGCAGTGTGATAAAAGCAGGGAAAAAAGAAGCAATAGAAAAATTCTTGATCAAAGCTCGTATAGTGGACCTAAAAAAAAGCATAAAGTATCAGATAACTGTATACACACCACATACAGATGACTATTCTTCTATCAAGTTCAAAATATGTATTTAAAACATTCAAAGTATAGTTGAATTTTTACCTTTGATTTCTGAGTTATTTTTAAGTATCATTATATTATGATCTAACCATAGCTAGTTCTAAAGACTTCACCAACATAAAAGACTATAATTTTTACATGAAAATCAGTAATATGCCTTACAATGTGAACTAAAGTTTATAGTGTTTTCTCATATTTTGTCAGAAGGAAACCACTCCCTTTACTTGCCTTTGCTATAGTCACTCATTCCTGTGTGCTTTTTAGTATCTTCTAAACTGAATATGCTTACTGCACTCTCACTTTCTGCCTTCTATAAAGCACTAGCATTTTAAATAACTATATTTTTGGTAATTTTAAAATTTTTAGATAGAGTGGAGGGAGGGAAGGGGAGGAAGAGAGAGAGAAAGAAACACTGATGTGAGAGAGAGACATCGATTAGTTGCCTCCACAAGTGCCCCAACTGGGGGCCAGCGAATCAAATCTGCAACCCAGGTACGTGCCCTTGACAGGGAATCAAACCTGAGACTCCGGTTCTGGGGCCAAACCAGCCAGGGCTACTGTGTATTCTTTTATCAGCGCTCTTTGTGGGATCCTGTGATTAAAGAAGCTTTTAAAAAGCTTTCAACAATAGTTTAGAGTGGAGAATTATCCTAATAATGTTAGATTTCTACCTTTTAGTACACTCAGAGAACTAGAGAAAAGCACAGTGGCTAAGAGTGGGCTCCGGATCCAGACTAGTTGGTTTGAGATCTACTTTCTAGCAATCTCAAGTTGTATTCCACATGGTAAAAGGGGTAAAATACCTATACTACCTATCTCACAAAGTTGTTAGGATTTAATCAGTTATTACATATACATTGTTTTTAATAATTTATGAGAGGTGCTCAATAAGCATTAGCCATTATTGATTCTTAGTCAAAGTAGTAGCCAGGATTATTATAAGCACAAAATTTGTAAGGACATTTTGAGTATGTCAGCAAAATCAAGCCCTCTAGAGTCTCTTGTTTGTATTTCTTAACATTAACAATCCAACTGTGAATCATTCTGGCAGCTATTCCAGCCAGTATCTTGTTTTGCTCCAGTGATTACTACCTACTCACTTCCACAACTTCCATTATCACTATTTGTACTTTGCCCCAGAGACAGACAGACATGCTAACAGCTAACCATGAGTACTGGGAATATTGCAAGCATGCATAGTTACCAAAACTTATCACCCATTCAAAATGGGATGATGACAGGTATTACAAAATGGAGGCTCAAGGCAGATCAGTAACTGACCCAATATGCACAGGTCTGGAGAATAAAAAAGCTAGGCATGAGCACTGACACGCAAATCATCCTTTCATAATCATTGACTTTTACTTCATAAAATGACTCTCAAAAATGAATACTGGGGAGGGGTATACAATCACATTAATTGAAAAACACCCATAAATTGTTTTAAACTTAATAAAATGTAAGCCCATTCATTATAGTATACCATAAAAAATACATCCTAAAAATACCATATTAAATAGTATATAACATGGATTTTATTGATTACTTAAAATTTATAATTTTCATAAGTACACAAAAGTGAATTAAGATAAGAACTTACGTTGTAATGCTAACATTTGAGGAGGGAATCACTAAAACCCGACTTGGTGCAATAAGCACTGATGTATCACATGTCACAACTCGAAGCCCCAGCAGGAACTTCCCTGGGGTAGCTCCACCTGCTCCCCAAATGCAAATTATCTAAGGAAAGAAGGATAATTTTAAAATAATTATTAGCTCAACTATACCAATTTTAATTTTTTAAAACTGATTTGAGAGAGAAGAAGAGGGAGAGAGAGACATGCACATTGATGTGCTTGCATTCATTGGTTGTTTCTTATACGTGCCCTGACCGGGGATTGAACCCACAACCTTGGTGTATTGGGATGACCCTCTAACCAACTGAGCTGCCTGGCCAGGGCTCAATCATACCAGTTTTAAAGGTAAGTTTTTCTGCCATGTTACTTATGTTTAAAAAAAATTTTTCAAGTTGGAAATTTCACAGAATACTCAAAGGTTAACCTTTTAATGTGTACTTCTGAAGATATTACAGACCATCTTCAATACTATCAGTTGTCTACTGTAATACTTCTCTGTGAGCCTGTTTCTATAGAAAAATACATTTCAAGTTCCACAACCAATTTACAAGTACATTTTTTGGACAATGAGAATGAAATATATTATAAAAAAGTTATAAAATGTCTTCAAAGTTTTTATTTAACTTATTTTTTAATCCTTGAGGATATGTTTTACTGATTTTAAAGAGGGGAAGGGAGGAGAAGAGGGGAGAGATGAGGGGGGAGAGAAAAATGAGAGAGACGTCAAAGGGTTACCTACCATACACATCCCCACTGGGAACCAAACCCCGAAACCTAGGTATGTGCCCTGACTGGGAATTGAACCAGCAACCTTTTGGTGCATGGGACAATGCTCCAACCAACTGAGCCACACCAGCCAGGGCAGAAAGTTTTTTTTTAAACTTGAAAAGTTGTATGTTAAAAAAAATTTTGGAAAAAATAGAGACATTTGACAAATACATAAGTAACTGTAAATTTCCATTTCTTTTTTTATCTTGGGATGATAATCTAGCAATAGATAGGTAAATATTAATATTTGCTGAAGTCAGTAGCTTACCTCATAGAAACAAACTAATAATCTGTATATAAGGGCCACAACCATCATTTTCTGCAAGTCCTCCATTGATGTGTCTTCATCTATTTCTTCGATTATATAATGCATAGCAAACTTAGAGATATCCCTGCACAAAATAATAGTTTGGGGTTGTAAAGAATTAGTTATTAGAGCAGTTGCATTGATTTCTGTTCCTATTAGTGTTAGTCATAAATTTTCTTTCAAGTTATAAATTAATCTTTAGGTTTCCAACCATCTCACAAACAACTTACGCAACAAATGGCATCACTATCATGAGCAGGCACTGTAATAGCCTTGGGGGTAAAATGGTGAGTGAATTCAACATGGTCTCTGCTTTCATGGAGATTATAACCAAGCAGGGAGGGCAGAACAATAAGTGATAATAAAGTGAGATGAGAGTTGTGATAGGAAACCATAGTGTACTAAGGAAACACATACCAGATACATTTAACTTGTGAAGCTTCCCAGAGATGACATTTAAGCTGAAATCTGAAGGATGAAAAGAAGTTAGCCAGACTAACAAGGGAGAAGTTTCAGAGAGAGGGACTAACTAGGGAGAAAGCCTTTGAGCAAGAGAGTGATGGGAGCTATGGTATGGCTCACATATTAAGCATGAGAGGTAACAGTGATTAGGAAATAAGGGCATCTTACTTAAACCATATGTAGATAAGACTTTATCCTGATGGCAATGAGGAACTACTGAAGGGAGGGTTTTAAGGCAGGAACAGAGCAGAATCAATTTACATCAGAGACTGAATTCAGAAAAATGGGAGACAGGAGACAGATACCAGTTAGAAAACTTTTGCTAAAATCCAGGCAAGGCATGATAGTAACTGGGCCAGAGAGAAGCAGTGATGAAAAAAAATGATCTGGGTTGAGGCTATTCAGGAGATTCAACAGATGGGAGTTGGTACTTGGATATGTAGAGGGTAGGAGAGGAAGAGACAGAAAGGAATCAGTTTCTAGCAAGAGCCCTGAAGTCCACAAGGGTTTGTATCTTGATTCTGTCACTTATTACTATCTTTGTAACTTTGTAAATTCTGGGCTTAACTTCTTGTAAACCCAAATTTCAATCTCTATAAAATGGAGGTATTACAATGGAGTATATGCAGCTGTAAGAAAGAAAGATCTCTTATCCTTTGAGATGACATGGAGGGACCTGGAAAGTATTATCCTAAGTGAAGCAAGCCAAACAGAGAAAGACAAGTATCATATGATCTCACTTATTTGTGAAATATAATGACCATAACAGTCTGAGGAATGGGGTAGACCCAGAGATGTGGAAGTGGGGTACAGACTGACAATCCCCAGAACAGGGGGTGGTGGGGGAGAGAGAAACCACAGAACTTATATGCATGTATGCATGAACAAAGGTCATGAACAACAAAGCTGGGGACAGGGTGGGAAGGCAGGGGGAGGGGGGAATCAGTGTGTGGGGGGAAACATCTGTAACAAAAATAAAATAAATAATTAAAAAATAATAAAAAATTATTTTCTCCTGAAAAGTTAAAAAAAAAAAAAAAAGGAGGTATTCATCTCTACAACTCATAGTGGTGGTAAGATTAAGAAAGAATCCATATAAAAGAGGTGAGCTCAAAGCCTAGCATGTAGAAAGTACTTAGTGAGTGATAATTATTACTATGATTATTAATGTGAAAGGAGGATTATTCAAATAAATGGCTCACTTTGCAGTTCACTTGGGACTTCCCTGATAATATAAGCAATCCCATTTGGAAATGCCATCTAGCTGATTAATACTAGTTCATCTATCAAAAGCTCTTTATGCCTAGTAAGAGGGAAATGAGTGCTGCCTGAGAAAATAGTTGAATAAACTCAAACCAGGCTTGGGGGCCCTTTTTACCTACTTTTGATAGGTGACATTCCCATAGATCTGGCAGAATTTATGAAGTGTTACTCTCTTTTTTGTACTTTTTTTCTTTCTTAAAACAAGAAAAAAATCCCACAAAGTGCCTATAAAGAAATCATGACAGTGGCAACACATACACAGTCATGTGCAGGCATAAACAGAATTTAACAAAACAAGATCTCTAGGCAGTAGGTTTTAATAAACCTTTCTGTGACTAGTCTTTACTTACTTTATTCCACTGAGGTGCATGATGCTTAAGACAATGGTTGCTTTTATAAAGAAAAGGATAAAGAAATCCACCATCTCTGCCATAAATCTGTGGGCCAAGGATGGAATAACATACTCTCTGCCTGTAAATAAAAAAAAAAGTTAGGAAAACTACTTCACAGGCCTTGGGACCCAAGCTAGGTAAACAAATAGGGAATATAAAGTCAAGGTACAACATGCTGATAAAAAAGAAATAATGACCTTGCAATAATCATTGGCATTGACTCCACCAATAACACATGTCATTAAAATATAGCAACATTACTCCACTGTTTTTGAAGAGTTCAAAGTTTGCTTTCACCTCAATGTTTAAAAAATGATTTCACAGATAAATTTATTTAAGGTACTCAATGGATCACACTAAGGACTCAAATGAGGAGAATCCAGGTGCTCACAAACCTGACACAAAATTAAATACTTTTTTTGGAAAGATCAAGGTTAAGTATAGATAATTAGTACAAAGTAAATCCCTGTGTCCATTTTACCTCTTATTTAGTTTGTCTTGCTTTCTATGTAATAAATCAATGTCTTACTAAATTCTGAATGGGATCAAATTCAGAAACTAATTCTAGTCCCAAATATCTGTGGCTGAATAAAGTGAACAGAAACTCTAAATGATAAACTGTGTAACTAATGCAAAATAGTCTAATTCCCATACAGAAGTAAACAGACTATAATGATCATTCAGCAAGGCGCAAAGGTTCATAACTACATTTGTATTCAGACCCTTCAGTTCCATTGCACCTAATATAAAGGTAATATAGAATCATTAATTCTATATTGTCATATATTCTGTAATTTACAGATAATACATAATAAATCCACGTCTGGGTTATTTCCAGCATTACCCGTCACCCCCACCCCCAAGTAGGTTTTCCATCTGGGATTGAAGCTTTGAATCTCATTCTCCAGAGCGGGGATGATTTGAAGAGCAGAGATTTCTTCACACGCGGAAACCAGTCCCAGGAGTAAGGGAGTCAATTGGGAGTGCTGGGTCTAAAGGAAGAAGACCCTGGACAGCCCCTCCGTACCCTTTGGGGATTGAAGCCAGGGCGCAGACAGCTGAAGCACACGGAGACCCATCAACCGCAGGAGCCGAAGCAGCTCCGCGCGAACACGGCGAGGCTGCTCCACCCCCCGGGTTCCCGGGACCCTTCTGCGCCGCCCGACCTCGCGCTCGCGCCTCTCACCTGCCTGGCGCCCGGTCTCGCTCGGGGTTCGCGAAGGGGCGGCGGATCCCACTCTCGTTACTGGGGTTGCCCGGACGGACCCCTGAACGTGAGGAGCCCGGGGTCCCAGGCCCGCGACTGAAGCGGGAGTGGCGATGCCGGGAGCCGCCCCCGGGTCGGGCCCGGCAGCCGCGGCGCTCAGGAAGTAGAAGGGGTTGTAATAGCCCAGCTGGAGGGGCGGCGGCGCCCCGGCCTGGGGGTAGCTGGGCGGGGGCAGCTGCGGGCTGCAGTAGGCTGGGAAGGCGGCCAGGCAGCTGTGCCAGGTGAGGTAGCCGCAGTAAGACTGCCACAGCCACTCGTGCACCTGCCGGGAGTACTCGCGAGCGCTCAGCCGCGCCGGCTTCTCCCGCGGCGACGCGGCCTCGGGCACCTCGCAGCCCGCCGGCTCCCGCAGCCCCGCAGCCGAGTCGGACGCCGCCTCCTCGCGCTTCCCGGGCTCGCGCTGCGGCTCCGACCCCTCCGCGGCCGCCGCAGTGGGCGGGGGGCCCGCGGCTGGGGGCCGGCCCGGGGCCTGGGGTTCGGCGGGCGGCCCGTCCTGGGGGCGTGGGGCGGCGGCGGAAGGAGGGCCTCGCAGGGAAGGGACGGGTTCGTGGTCCCCTCCACTGTCGCCCTGCCCCGGAGGGCGGCCTCGGGCCTCCTCCGGCCCCTCTGCCATGGCAGCCTCGGCAGCACCCTCCGCTGTCTTGTCACTGCGCCGTCTCCCTTCCCTCCCGGCTCCTCCCCAACGGTCTGTCGCCACCGCAGCAGCCACAGGCGTCAACAATCCGCCACCGGAAGCGGAAACCCCGCCCCTTCGCAGCGTGGCCGGCCGCAGGGTGGGGCGTGGCCAGCGGGTGGGAGGGACAGAGGCGGGTTTGGGGCTGCGGACCCTGGCGCGGTCCTCGCACAGTGGCGGCCCGTGTGCTGGGGGTCCTCGGCTTATAGCTTGTGGGGCCCAGACTGTTACCGACCCCCACTCCCCACCGCTTAAGGTTTTAATGAAGTGAAAGGCCCGAGGCGTCTCCAGACAGTCCCACGGGATGTGGACTCGGACTGTCCCCGAGTAACTGCTAATGCAGGAAAAGGATTTCCTAGAGAGCTCCCGGGTCAGCGTCGCCCTGTTTATTACTGAGCCGCGATTGTTTGCTCTGTGGGCACAGGGTTTATTGTTTATTTTGGCTTGCCTCGGGCATGTGTACTCAAGGTGGTACAAGACGTATCCCCTTAAGGCGAAATTAATAACCACACTAAATGGGGACCTATGACAAGTGAGTTTGGTTCAGCTGCAGAGATTTTCATTGTAAGAGAAGGGAAGAAGGATTGTGGTGATGTAAGAGCTAGACATTTTTTTTATTTTTTTATTTTTTCTTTTTCACATCTTTATTGTTGGATGTAAAATGTATTACAGATGTTCCACATTTTTCCCCCATTGACCCCCTCCTCCCCACTCCCGCCCCACTCCCGCCTTTTCCCACACTATTGTCTGTGTCCATTGGTTATGCATATAAGTTCTTTGGTTTATTTCTTCCCACCCCCACCCCCCAACCCTTTGAGGTTTGTCAGTCTAGCAATGAATTTGTGCTTCTTAATTCCTTCACCTTTTCCACCCATTCCCCCAACCCCCCTCCCATCTGGCAACCAACAAAATGTTCTCTGTATCTATGAGAATGTTTCTATTCTACCTGTTCATTTTGTTTGTAGATTCCATTGTTGATAGATATGTATTCGTTGCCATTTTGTTTGTTCATACATTTTATCTTTTTCTTCAAAAAGACCCGTCATCATTTCATATAATAATGGTTTGGTGGTGATGAACTCCTTTAACTTTTTCTTGTCTGGGAAAGTTTTTATATGTCTATCAATTCTAAATGACAGCTTTGCAGGATAGAGTAATTTTGGTTGTAGGTTCTTGGTTTTCATCACTCTGAATATTTCTTGCCACTCCCTTCTGGCCTGCAAAGTTTCTTTTGAGAAATCAGCTGACAGCCTAATGGAACTCCCTTGTAGGTAACTAGCTGCCTTTCTCTTGCTGCTTTTAAGATTCTGTCTTTGTCTTGAACCTTTTGCATTTTGATGATGGTGTGTCTTGGTGTGGGCCTCTTGGGGTTCATCTTGTTTGGGACTCTCTGTGCTTCCTGGACTTGTATATCTGTTTCCTTCACCAAGTTAGGGAAGTTTTCTGCCATTATTGTTTCAAACAGGTTTTCGATTTCTTGTTCTCTCTCTTCTCCTTCGGGCACCCCCCAAGATGCGAATGTTGGCTTGAAGTTGTCCCAGAGGCTCCTTACACTATCCTCATTTTTTTGGGTTCTTTTTTCTTTTTGCTGTTCTGATTGGGGATTTTTTGCTTCCTTATATTCCAAATCGATGGTTTGCTCCTTGGATTTACATACTCTATTATTGAAGCTGTGTAAATTATTCTTTATTTCAGTTAATGCCTCCTTCAATTCTAACTGTGTATCCATGATTTCTAACTGGTCCTTTTTTATGCTCTTGAGGCCCTCCCTAAGTTCACTGAGGTTCTCACTAAGTTCATTGAGCATCCTTATAAGCAGTATTTTGAACTCAGTATCTGTTAGGTTGCTTATCTCCCTTTCGCTTAGTTCTTTTATTGGGGTTTTGTTCTGCTCTTTCATTTGGGACCTGTTTCTTTGTCTCCTCATTTGGGCTGCCTCCCTGTGTTTGTTTCAGTGTATTACTTAATGAGAGGTATGGGGCTCGCTGAGACCCGGTGCTGCTCTTTGGAAGAATTTAGGAAAAACCTGAAGCAGGATCCAAGACCGGCCAATCCTATGGTTAAGCAAGTGGCAACAGCTTGGGTGGGCTTGAAAGTTGGGTGGGGTGGGGCGGGGCCTCAGGGAGTCAGCAGGGCGGGGCTACCAGTGTGAGCCAGGTTGCTGGAGTCCCAGATATGGCTTCTGTCTGACGCCCCAGGGAAGGGCTCACCAAAGGAACAAAGGCCTCTTACAGCACGTTTGTCCTGGAGAAAGCCCCCTCTGCAGCCCTCGCTCCAGTGCCAAACAGCTCAGTTCTTCCCTGAATGTCTCTGGCGCCTCTCGAGCTGCCTCCCCTCCGAGCTTAGAGGGAGAGAGTCCGGTAAGTCCGTGCGCGGGCCCTTTAGGGAGTTGCCTGGGGCTCCAGCCGCTTCAGCCTCCCTGAGCCTCAGTTCCTGCTGGTTTTTCCAGCCAGAAGTTATGGGGACTTCTCTTCCTGGCACTGGAACCCTGAGCGGGGCACCTGGTGTGGGACGGGGACCCCTCAGTCCTCAGGAAGGACCTTCCCAGCCGCGGGAGCCTCCTGATTTTTATCCGCCACACGTGGGTGTGGGACCAGCCAGTCGCCCCTACGCCACCGCCCTTCGCGCCGCCGCCCCTCCTACCAGTCTGGATGTGGCTGCTGATTTAATTCCGTAGTTGTAGGACTTCCATTCAGCTTGATTTCAGGCAGTTTTGAATGATGGTGGTTCTGTAGTTTAGTTGTAACTTTGATGTGGTTGTGGGAGGACACGATACCGCGTTTACCTACCCGCCATCTTGACCGGAAGTCCCTAGACATTGTTTTTATCCTGGAACTAACCTGTGTCCATAAAATCTTACTTTACACTGCTGTAGAAAGAAGCCTACTACTACAGCAAAACTGTGCCTTTCCTCAAACCCAGTATGTCCACCTTTGGTGCCTTTTCCTTTATTTTCTATTAAGGCAAGACCTTTCATATGTCAGGGCTTTGGAGCCTTCTCTGAGTAGTACAGGCATTATTTCCCCTTCAGAAATATATATGGCATTTTATATATTTGTTTTAATACACTTTCATATGTCCTTAAATTGATTAAGTGATAGCAATATGTATATGTGTTGATGGCAAGAACTGCACCAGATGTTAGACCAGTGGAGTCAGACCAGACCTTGGTTTAGCAATCTCAGAACTTGAGTTCTGGCTAAGAATTTAGAGCCAAGACTCAAACTATAAGAGAAAGTTTATTTAGAAAGTCACAGAAGTGGAATAAGTGAGCTGTAGGAGAAATGAGCTCAGGAAGACCTATTCAAGACAATATGAGTATAATATGAATCCAAAATAAGGGGAAGAGCATGGTATTCTATAGCCAGAAAAGTTACCCTTACAAATTTTGTTTTAAAATCAACTGTGAGGAAGTTGTAATGTTTAAACAAACAAGTAATTCAAGTTTGGGTGGCGGAGGCAGGAGAAGAAATGAAGATGTCATGGACTGAGTGTGAAATATTGTGCTTATTGTAGACACGGACATTTGAATACCACTGATTATATAGTAGCAGGTACAGTGCCACCCACACAGTAGACATGTAATCAGGACTATTGGTGCAATTGTCAGAAATCCAGTTGCAACTGATTTAACAGAGAACATTGTGAATTTATTGACTTGCATAACTAAAAAGTGCAGTAGTTTAGGTTAAAGGATATCTAGTTACAGTTAATTAAATGATGACTTCAGGGATCACTTTCTTTTTTCTTTCTCTGACTTTGCCTTTGAGAAAAGTAAGAGTGTTTCTGTTTTGGTGATTTAAAAAAACCTCCATTCTAACTTGCTTAACAAAAAAATTTTTTCCTTACGTAAGCAATAGAGGTGCTACATTTAATAGGCGTTTAAAAAGAGAGAAGAGAGGTAAAGTTCAAAGAAATAATGGCCAACACTTTACTAGAACTGAAGGAAGATGACTCTTTAGATTGAAGAAACACATCAAGTCTTGAGAAAATAATATATAACATAATGAATTTAAGAAAAGAGAAAAAGATATTAAGAGTTGTTAAAATATAACCTACCTACAAAGAAAGGGCATTTAGACTGGAAGCCAAGTTTGCAAAAGTAAAAATATATGCTGAAGATAGGGGAAAATATATATTACTAAGGGGAAACTACTGACAACCTGGAATGTTATAAGCAAGTGAATTAGCACTCGAGAATGAGGATGTGGTGTAATGCACTACTGAAAATTCAAACAATATACTGATCAATCCTGGCCACTTCCCATCACACTCAGCTAAGGATTAAAGTTTCAAGGATGTGGAAAGAGAGTATTCATGAGTCAAAAAGTAAATGGATGCTGGATATATGGCAGTACATTAGTTTTGAATCTCCATGAATCCCCACATAAAAACAGAGTGTATAGTAAACCAAAAATTGCATGGAACAACATTTGCAACAAAACGAGATGACAGATAACTCCACAAACTTCAAATACAAGAAAGTGGGGTAAAATCACAAATGCAAAACTTGTACAGTGAAAAAGTCATATAAAAACTGTAAAGATTTTGCTCTCTTCCTCGGCGCTGCCTACGGAGTTGGCAGCAATCTTCTCCTCGGCACCATGGCTGCCCTCAGACCCCTCGAGAAACCCAAGATTGTCAAAAAGAGGACCAAGAAGTTCATCCGGCACCAGTCAGACCAATATGTCAAAATTAAGCGGAACTGGCGGAAACCCAGAGGTATTGACAATAGGGTGCACAGAAGATTCAAGGGCCAGATCTTGATGCCCAGCATTGGTTGTGGGAGCAACAAGAAAACAAAACACACGCTGCCCAGTGGCTTTCGTAAGTTTCTGGTCCACAACGTCAAGGAGCTTGAAGTGCTGCTGATGTGCAACAGATCTCACTGTGTTGAGATTGCTCACAGCATATCCTCAAAGAACCACAAAGCCGTTGTGGAAAGAGCAGCCCAGCTGGCCATCAGAGAGACCAGTTCCAATGCCGGGCTGCGCAGCAGAAAAAATGAA